TGAATCTTATGAAATAATTGAATATTTTTTATCATTAGATTGGCAAAACAAAATTTTATAATGTTTTGTAAAAGGGTGTGGGCTAACAAAAAGGTGTCATAGGCTTCATAAAAATTGGGTCAGCCAATCTGGTGGGTAATTTTCTCAGCACCTATTTAAAATTTTAATGCAATTAAGCATCTCAGTATCTACTACAAGAACATATAAAAATTTTTATTTTTATTTTTTTATCAGAGAAACACCTACCATTCAGAGTCTTCTTTCAATCTACCCAACTAAGGGAGTAGAATTTCAGGGAAATAGCAGAAGTGGAGCTTGGGGTAGTTCCTTTGGTTGACTTACAAAATCCCCCTTCTTGGCATTTAATGTGCTCTTGGCATGAAATTTAAGATAAACATGACTTCAAAAAAGAAAGCAGAGCAATGAATTACATTGGAACACATGTGTTTGCAAGGTCATCTGGTCTTTAGGGCTCTGTCCTGCACAAAATATGGAAAAGCAAAACCATTCTGTGGCCCCTGGGACAGGAGAAATGATTTGGGGTGAACTGTCCTTTCTGACTTGAGAATCATCTGAGGCAAGAGTCGTTAGGAACTTGACCGGTTCTGATTCTGGTTGCCTAATTCACAGTGCCTACTGAGGTGGCAGACCAGTTTCTCTGCCTCCACTGAGCAGGACAAGCTGTCAGCAGAATGCTAAGTGGCTATCTCAGTGGCGATGATTGATTCGCAGAGATGACACAGATGTGACCGCCTCAGTCAAAGTCAATGTTTTCTTGGCCCTCAAAATTTAAAAATATATATATACACAAATGCAAATGAAAAATAATGACAAGGCCCACATAGCACTCCAGAGTCATTTGGCTCAACAATTATGAATGCCTCCTAGGCTTCCAGCACCCTGCTAGGTGCTGATAGTGACATAAAAATCATCAAAGACTTAACTCCTGTTCTTTATGACATTAATAAAGTAGCCAAAGTTATGTAGTTTTAAAGATCACAGAGTTTAGCATTGCTTTTGCCACCTAAATGCTGCTTCTTAAACACTGACAGACATAAACATGCCTGGTGCATAATCTTTTTATCTAGAATGCCCTTTTCTTTATCCTCCTGGAGAACCTCCATATAATACAAAGTCTAGCATGACTGTCACCTTGATGACATGAAGCTTCAATGGCCGTGCCCACACTGCAATCCTCATCACTTTCTTTGTGCATCCTTTAGGCCCCCATCTACACCATTGCAATTCTAGATGTTATTCTAAGTATCCGGGTGGAGGGGGGGTGTCTGAATCCCCCATTCTGGGGGTGGGGAGGCCTTCTTTGGTTGAGTTTCTTCTAGACCCTGCCTGTTTTTTAGAATCATCTTTAGATATATTATGGGTTGGTTTTGTTTGTTTTTTCTATGAGTGTTTTAAAAGTTCAGGTTTCAAACCAGACCCATTGGTTCAGAATTCCCAGGGTATTGACCTGCACATCTTTATTTTAGTTTACTCTCCATAGGTGATGTGGACTTAAGAGTCAGGGTGGAGCCGAAACCGGTTTGGCTCAGTGGTAGAGCATCTGTCTGCGGACTGAAAGGTCCTGGTTTCGATTCCGGTCAAGGGCATGTACCTTGGTTGAGGGCACATCCCCAGTAGGGTGTGTGCAAGAGGCAGCTGGTTGATGTTTCTCTCTCATCGACGTTTCTAGCTCTCTAGCTCTCTCCCTTTCTCTATAAAAAATCAATAAAATATATATTTTTTTTTAAAAGAGTCAGGGCGTAGAAGCACTCACTGTGCCCGATTCCTTTTTATAGCTCCAGTGCCAGGAACAATGTCAAGCACACAGCAGGTGCTAAAGTCCTGCTCATGGATGGAATGAATTACTCACATCCACTTTATGTCTCTTTGTAGGTAAATATCTAAACTATACATGACACCAACTTGCTGGGGTCAATGCGGATGTTTTTGTAGGCTTCTCTTAAAGATTCTCAATTTCAACAGCTACATTCTTTGGTTGGTCCCAGTGCTTTAGTATTCAGATAAAGACAGTGATCTGAGGGGGAAATATTTTCTTTTGAACAGTAAATGTGTGAGGTTTTACAATATACAAGCTTGAAAGGTAGAAGGGATTTGTTGCAAAAATGTGACAAGGAAATATAGATTAGTTGTAAAAGGCCTCCCTATATATTCATACGCATGTCCAAATTCAGACTAGAAAAAAAAATCCCAAGAAGTTATCTAGTTTAAGGTCTGTTACCAAATTTCTAACTGCTCAATGGAAATTCACACATTCATATAACATACAAAAGTGGAACTTACTATATCCTTCCTACACAGCTCCTCCTCCATATTGGAGGTAAGGACTAAAGTGTAGATGTTAGATGGTATTATTTGATCAAGGATTTAGAATGAGAGAATCTGGCCTTTCCTCTTGCCTCCCTCCTTCAAGGAGAAGAGAAGTATCCACTCAAAGAATAATAGCCAAATATGAATCAAAATATCATATTACTAACATCTAAGTCAGGATCCAATAACCCAGTGAAATGTTTCCTGGTTTAGAACATATTATTGGGCTAGAGACTGAAGTGAGCCATCATTTCCTTACTACAATTTAAGTTTAAATCTTGAAAGCTGGACATTCAGTTCTCCCTGTGTACATTAATGTCTGCCTTTATATCCCCATTGTCACGGGCATAACTCAGGTTCCCTGGGAAAAAGGTCTTTTGGCAGGCCAGCCCACAACTGTATCCATTCATTAAGTCTCCTCTTTCCTTAGCCAAACTCTGTGGAGATGGTACAAGTTTCTGCTTCCCAGAATAGGATCCATTAAGAAATACTGTCAGTTCTTCACTTTTAAACTCAGCAATTTTTTCATCTGACTCTTTTGAATAATACAGTCTTATCTTTTGCATGCAATTCTGAAATAATGGCTCATTCTCAATGCAGATTATTTGGTCAAAAAGATCATAATAACTATGTATGGGGCTAGGTGGGTACTTAAAATATTGGTGGGGGGTGTGCTCTGTAGAGTACATGATTGGCTAGCCACTATGCAGTACATCTGAAACTGACAGAGAATCACAGTGAATGTAAACTGTATTTGAAAAATGATAATAAAAGAAATAGCCAAAAAATAAAAGTGTTCAAAGATAAAGTATAGATGAGACTTTTTGATAAAATAGGTCTAGGTTTCAGATACTTTCCAATATGGACTTGCTTATCTCTCCTGTTTCAGGTCCTTAAATTCACCCCCTCACGTAGGACCCTCCAGCCACAAGGTCCTCCCTCCATTCCTCAAACACACCAAGTTCATTCTTCAGGGTTTCCAGTCATGATCTTGCTTTCCAAAAACCAGCTCCTTCTATTGTTCATTTGCTTATCATCTGATTTTGTTGTTGTTGTTGTTGAGCTCTCAATTCAGAAGCTGCTTCTTCAAAGAGGCTCTCCATTGACCTCCCCCAATCTAAGCCAGCCTCTTTTCTCTTGTTATCACTTGCCACTATTTGTATTACATTCTTGGTGGTATTTATTAGTGCAATGCCTGTCTCTCCCACAAAAGGAAAGAACTCTATGAAGGCAATGGCCATATCAGCTTGGTCCACCAATGCTCAGTCCATAGCCGGCCTCAAAAAAAACATTTTTGAATGAATAAATAAACGACATGGTTAAGGTATGAGCCTTATGTCCTTATCTGTATGGTATTAACTACGACTTCTCAAAGTTATCATTAGAATAAAGCTAGGTGATAAATGGCCCAGTTAGACAATAATACTTCATAAATATTATTCAAGACCTTATTAATTTTTTGACTAAATTATTTTCCATGTGACTTGAAATAAGTAATCTGGCCAGGACCGGTTTGGCTCAATGGATAGAGCGTCGGCTTGGGGACTGAAGGGTCCCGGATTCGATTCTGGTCAAGGGCATGTATCTTGGTTGCAGGCATATCCCCAGTAGGGGGTGTGCAAGAGGCAGCTGATCGATGACTCTCTCTCATCGATGTTTCTAACTCTCTATCTCTCTCCCTTCCTCTCTGTATAAAATCAATAAAATATAAAAAAAAAGAAATAAGTAATCTGCCTTTTTATGTCTTCCCATTTTCTTTTATTAATAGATCCTACCATATGAAAACTCTTAAAAAGCAGTAAATTTTATAATTTTGCATTTGCCCATGATTTTTATACAGAGAAGTACAATATCATTCAATAGTTTCAGACATAGTACAACAGAACTTATAAGCAAGATGGAACAAGGGCATTTCTACCCCATTTAATTAACAGTGATGTTGGTAGATGGGGATTTCAAAAGAATTGCCTCAAATCAAATTACAACTTGGTGGGAAAGTCAAGTTCTTTTGAGGTATTGGGCCTTCAGATTAGCTTCATCCTTGACTTGGCTCTTCTTATTTTTACTTCTCCAGTTTTGGGAAATTGTTGTGACTTTCCTTGCCACAGATTCCTGCTCAGACTTCCCTTAGTTCAGTAGTCGGCAAACTTATTAGACAACAGAGCCAAATATCAACAGTACAACAATTGAAATTTCTTTTAACAGTCAAATTTTTTAACTTAAACTTCTTCTAATGCCACTTCTTCAAAATAGACTCTCCCAGGCCATGGTATTTTGTGGAAGAGCCACACTCAAGGGGCCAAAGAGCTGCATGTGGCTCAAGAGCCACAGTTTGCTGACTTCGGCCTTAGTTCATCTCCACCCACTCATCCTTGGGCTGAGCTGTTGAAGGGCGATGTACTATTTAAGGCCTATAGTTACAAACAGTTGTTATTTCAGCCCCAGTTAGGAATGGCCCACAGAGCTACTGATGATAATCAGTATTGATTAGTGAATCTACATGAATCTAATTCATGGTTGGATGGAGCTAAATAAAGAAGTATAAAATGTGCATTGTACTGTATCATCAATTTCTCAAAAGTCTTCCTTTGGTTCCTTATTGTTTATGTTCCAGGAACTACAGAGCATCACGTAGTGACCTGTCAACTCAGGAAGCTGATAGTCTGACTGAACTAGTCCTGAGGTTCTTCACAGAAAAGGCAACCGGGGTCCTGGTCTGCAGGAGATTCCATCTGAATGGTGAGTGAATGCACAGGAAAGCTATTGCTGAGGGCTTTAGCAATCTCTCTCTGAATGCCCTGGCTGTCCCGACTGGATGCTGTTGAAGAGGAATCATAGTGAGCTTGACAGTGATTGCACACAAATAGGCAACTACTACATCTCCAGCTTCAAGTACTTGATGGGGTGGGGCACAGGCCTAGTGCTCAGAAGGAGCCAGGTTGGCTCTGACAATCAACTATATCTGCACAGACAAGGTGTGTGTGTGTGTGTGTGTGTGTGTGTGTGTGTGTGTTTGTTTAGGGGATAGGGGAGGGGGCTTAGTGCAGCCAAGTACCCAGACACTATAGAAGCTCTTATATATTGAAGCTCCCCACAATTATCTCTGGGGTCTGGCATTCCTAGGAGCTAAGTATGAAAATGGAAATGCACCCTGGAAAAAGCCAAGACAAAACTGTTATTTCTTATACAGCCTTGCTCACCAGTCCCCAGGGACCTCTGGGTTGCAGCCCTTATATCTAATCAGAACCTATATTAAGGCTAGTGACAGGAGGCAGGGAGCATTTAGGGCTCCCCACAGACCTTTCTTAGAGCAGCAACCCTCACTCCATCTTTTCTCTTGTCCCCAAAGGTATCAGGAGGCTGTAAAATTCCCTCCACAGTAACATGATTACTAGGTTCTTCCATTTGCAATAAAATATTAGTGTTGTGGATGCTGTAAATTCCCTGTAGCCAGATCTGAGTCGCGTGGTGAAGATCAGGTTGTCTGAAAAAGCAAAGTCCTCATATGACTGTCACTGATGTTCCTATACCCTGAGTCTAAATAACTTCCTGAGTTACTTTCCAGCAGCCTCATGTATCTTACTGGCCTGTCTCCTGAGGCAGAGAGACACCTCCCACCACCCAGTTTCTCAGCACTAGGACATAACCTGGACAAAATCACCTATTTGAAAAAGTCATTTTTAAAATAAATCCAATTTCCTAAAATTATCTCACATGGTTATAGAATTTCTAACCACCCAGTTTAAAAAAAAATCACCATTAATTTTTACTACCAAATTTTTTAGGTTGTTAAAATGTTAAGGCCTAGCCAGCGTGGCTCAGTGATTGAGCATTGACCTAGAAACCAGGAGGTCACAGTTCAATTACCAGTCAGTGCACATGCCCAGGTGTGGACTCAATCCCCCATGTGTGGGGCATGCAGGAGGCAGCCAATCAATGATTCTCTCTCATCATTGATATCTCTCTCTCCCTCCCTCCCTCCCTCCCTCTCTCTCTCTCTCTCCCTCCCTCTCTTTCTCTCTCTCCCTCTCCCTCTCCCTCTCCCTCTCCCTCTCCCTCTCCCTCTCCCTTTCCCTCTCCCTTTCCCTTTCCCTCTCCCTCTCCCTTTTCCTTCTTTTCCGAAATTAATAAGAATATATTTAAAGAAAAGGAAAAAAAAAAACCTAAAGATGGAACCTGTGTATGCTTCATCTTTCTGTCTTCAGTGAGAGGCAAAGCATGACAGGAGATACTCAATGAAGATTTATTGTTGAAATCATTCCTATTATTTAATTGTTTGAGTTCCAAGTCAACCAGGTGAAGTCTAATATTCAGAATCTAAGGACTTCAATTTGGGTGGCATTTTTCCTCCTTTTACCCTCTTCATTCAGCTTCTAGGCATATCATTATCATTGTTGCCATGACAACATTGACAAGGGGTGTGGTTTTCAAAGGCCCTTGGTAATTCAAAGTACTTCACAGTTGTGTAGACAGGTATCGGCTACTAAGGGCAGCTCTACAAAAAGGAGGGAAATTGCTGACTTTACAGAACAAGGATTGAATTTTGTCCAGTCTTACTGACCTGCAACAATATGAGCCGAGAGAATCACCTGGTTGGTTGTTAAAGACCATATGTGCAAGCTGTGCACAGACACCACGCCATCTACCGCTAAAATGAGCTCTTTCACAGCATTGTAGTTGAGGTTCTTTGGCACACCTGACAGAAGGAAAGAATGGGAGGCTATTGTTATTCAACTGAATATAGCTCATGGAGATGGCCAATTGGGTCTGCAAAGTCCTCACCCAAATATCAACTTGTGCCCTCTTCATTTATGGTTTCTTATCTCAAATGTTTGCAAATCAGATTCCCCCATTGCTAAAGATTTACCATCACTCAGAAGTTCACAAAAAAATATTTGAGGTTTTACTTATGCAGTAATCAACGACAGGGATCATCCTTCATTTGTGGGTGTGTTATTAATCCAGTTGTGCTTTTTCCAATGATCTTTGCATACACTCCAGAAGCAAAATGAAATAACATGGGATTTAGTATCAGATAATCTAAGGTTAGCATTCGGTTACAACTATTTTGAATTTACCTAAATCTTGGAACTTCTCTGATTTTTAGCATCATTTATAATAAAATAAGGGTGATAAGAACAATATATAATTCACAGAGTTCTTTGAGGAGCATATCTGAAAATAACTGCCCTTTGTATACTGTAATGCTACACAAATGGGAGCTATCTAACAGGTAACTTTAGTGAACTGTGTTAATAGGTGACCCTAATATTGTAAAACTATTTTATTATTGTTTGTAAAACTTTTATTAATTTAGGTACATTAGTGAGGGTTAATATTTAGATCACAGAGTAGGATAGTTTGAATGTCATCCTTGCTTCTAAAGGAACAGCAGGATGGGGGGACAGGCAGCCAATCAGCTATTCTCTGGGCCTGAAGGAACTGGGGTGTCTCTGGCCTGGAGAAAAAGCAGGTTAAGAAAGCAGGATCGCTTTTTCAAAACATTGCAAGGATTGTCATATAGGAGGCTAGATGGTGTGAAAGTGTGAGGTTGCTTGCATTGGCTAGCTACAAGTGGAGCCAGTGGTTGGTTAGAACTGTAAAAGATATCAGTTTGATATAAGAATTTTTTAAAAATCAACTCAACAAGCACCACAATGGGAAAAGCCATTGGGTGCAATAGTTAAATCCCCATCAACAGAAGATGATCCAAAAAGAATACTATAAAAGAGATTTCTAAGGCTGACCCCCTTTCTGCCTCTACTTTAACTATATATATATATATATATATATATATATATATATATATATATATATATATACCAACCATATAAAAATAAATATGCTTCAGCTGCATGTCCATCCTTCTGAAGAAAATTTCTGTGAATGAGACTCTGAAACCTACACTCCTCCAGAGCTTCTCTCAACCTTGGACACACATTAGTTTCATTGGAGGAGAATTTAGAAGTCCTGATGATCAGGTTGCACCCAAGATCAATTCAATCAAATTCTTTGGGGATAAGTCTCCACATCAGTATTTCCATAGTTCACATGATGATTCTAACACACAGCTAAGGTTGAGAACCATTTCAATTCTATTTACAAGTCACTGGATAGTGGTTCTACTTTGCAGTTTTCAAGCTTGGCTACATATTAGAAAACATCAAAGCCAGTCCCCAGCCCAGTCACTAGTATTATATCAGGATCTCTGGCTGTAAAGCTTGAGCATAAGTATTTTTTTTAAAGCTTCTCAGATTGTCATGACCAGCTAGTCACATATAGAAGCATATACTTTAAAAAGGAGGTGGGGGAAGGGGGGATCCTTAACCCTCCTTTTTTTCAGTATTTAAGAGCCTTCCTCTTTGGGATTTTCTCCTTAGGTCTAATTTAAAATTCTCTACAATTTGAGTTTAGTTTAATCCCATTTCATATTATTTCACAGAGGTAAAAAAGAGTTGGTCAATATGGAATTTTACTGACTGAGCTGCACAAAGCTCAGGATAGCAGAAACAAATTAGTGGTATGTGTTTTTTTTCTCAGATTAGTCATAGAATGTATATGCAGTCATGGGTGAGGTTGTTGTATTATAGTAAAAATAATAATGACATAGCTTTGTTGAGAACATATGGTAGGTCAAGGTTTATGCTAAGCACTTTATTTATAACTAGAGGCCTGATGCATAAAAATAGGCCTTCCTTCTCCTGGCTGCCAGCACTGCCTTCACTCCAGCCTGGAGCCACCTTTCTGCCTTCTCTCAGGCCAGAGCCGCCTTCCACCTCTCATCTTGTTGTGTCAATTTGCATATTCTGTCCTTATTGGCTGTAGGCACTGCGATTTTTGTTGTGGAGTTGTGGTCAATTTGCATATTTCATCTTTATTAAATAGGATAATTATCTTATTTTAATATTTACAAGAACTTTACGAGCTAGTTTTATCAGTGCTCCAATTCCTATTTAACTGGAGGAGAGGAAATTGGGAGACAGAGAGGTTAAAAAGCATTGCTAAGGTCACATAGATAAGTGGGATGTAAGGGTCTGCAGTTCATGCTCTGAGTGTGAGGTGTTATGCAAATGCTAGACGTGGGGATTGCAACCAAAAGTTGACTATTATGCTAGTGTGTCATCTCTGCTGAGTTTCATTTGGCTCTTGAAGACCTGCTATCATTCACCTAGGACGCTTATGTTGAAGTCATGATCCCATTACTTTTTGTCTCTCTTGCCTCATTTATCTCCCTACGCTTATGATGAACACAAGTCCACTATTACTTATTTTACCCCATGAAATAATGTCAACAAGCATGAGGCTATGCTCCCACTGAACTCTGTGCTCCATCACATTCTAGGAACCATTTTTCCCGACAGAGAGCCTGCAAAAATATTAATGCACCCAGGAAAATACTCAAGTTAGTATTTAAAAAACAATTTCCCAGATTAATAAATATATGAAAAAATCACTCAATTATAGAATTGCATATTAAATTAATAAGATAAAATATTCCACCAATCAGATTAGGAAAGAATAGAATCAGCAGTTTGATAATACCCCATGATGGGGAACATGTGAAGAAATGGGCACTGTTATATTCTATTGGCCAAAGAGATGTTGCAATAGTTGTTTTGGTAGAAATGATCATTTCTGTCAAATTTCAAAATACATAGAACTTTTGAAACAGAAATAACATTTCTAGGAATTATTCCAAAGATGTACAAATGCTAAAAAAAAAAATGCACAGGAGTGTTAATTATGCCATTAACATTGGCCATCAATAAGCAAATAGGTGCATACAGTGGAATAGTTTATAGCTATGTAAAAAAAATGGGGTGTTTCTATGTATGTACTTAAATGGAAAGATATCTAAGTGAAAAAAACAAGTACAGAGCAAAATAAGTATAAAAACAGAATCCTATTTGTTTAAAAAATACATACACACAAAGTTTACATATATTATGTATATGATATACATTATATGTGTATATATGTAAATATTTACATATATTATACATTTATGCATTTATTGTGCATATATATATATATATATATATACACATATATATTTATCTTTTGAAAGATGTATGTTAACTTAGAAGTAGATGTTACCCCTGATGAATGGGACTGAGAATTCAAAGTAGAAAAAAAGGGGGAGACTTTTAAAATTCATTTTCTACCTTTGCATATTATTTTAAAATTTTACCAAGATAAGGATTCTTTTATGCTATTCTAATGTGAAAACCTAGTTTAGAAATTAAGCATCTGCCAGATATCTGGCAGTTTCCATAATTAACTGTTCTTTCTTTAAATAAATAAGGAAGATAATCACCAGAGCAGATCTACCCCGAGAGACAGGGAAAGTGGAATACAGTCGTCTCAAGTTGTGCACCAATCTGCCTTTTATCCCCCTGTTAGTCAATACCATCCTAGCGACAACAGCACTGCAGCACTTGGCCCTTGGGAAAGGAAATGGGTGTATTTGTGACTTGACAAGTCAAATATTGTCACCTCCCTCCAGAGTGAAGAAGTTCGCTTGTTAGTGACATTTGTCTCCATTTGGTTTCACTATTGTCAACATTATCATCTGCCAACAATGATACTGCCCACTGAGGACAGAAACCTTAAATGTAGCTGTGGCACTGAACACTAAAAATGCAACGGACCTCTGAGACTGCATCTTCTTTATTTCAAAATGTGCGAGACAAAAAAAGAAAAGTTTATCCAATATCCGGATATTTATGATCATCCAAATGTTTGATACGATGCAAACCTCTGGTTCTGGTAGAATTTCTGGGAGCCATTCCCAGCACCCTCTTGTAGGTATCTCCAAGTGCTACAAAAAGCCTGATTCAGCAGTTCTCTAAGTATGGTCCCCAGATTAGCAGCACTAGCATCTTGTTAGAACTTTAGATTCTTGGGCCCCAACCCAGACCTATGTCCCTGGAAGGGTGTGGGTGGACCCAGCAATTTGTGTTTTAACAAACCCTACAAGCAATTCTGATGCTACTAATGTTGGAGAACTGTTGGCCTAGTCCTGTGGTCGGCAAACTGCGGCTCGTGAGCCACATGCGGTTCTTTGGACCCTTGAATGTGGCTCTTCCACAAAATACCTGGGCTAGTCTACTTGGAGAAGTGGTGTTAGAAGAAGTTTAAGTTTAAAAAATTTGGCTCTCAAAAGAAATTTCAGTCATTGTACTGTTGATATTTGGCTCTGTTGACTAAGAGTTTGCTGACCACTAGCCTAGTCTAACAAGGGTTTTAGGCAAACCCTTCTGAATAGTTACAATGCTGCTAAGGATAGGTTTATACTGTCTTTCTTGGGTCTTGTCCATACATTTAGGGACAAACTAATATTTTTACAATAACTTCCTCCATGTCTATCTTTAGTGTTTGTGCATATTGTTTTTACACTGACCCATATCATTGAACAGTTGCTGGAGGAAAAATAGAAACCAATACTTTTTAATTGTTCCATATGAAAGAAAATCACAATATTTGTTTTCCACCAAATTCTTTATCAGTTTAAATGTTCTCTGTGATGCATATTAATAATGAACATGCCTCAAGGCTACTACCTCTTATGGTCATAGAGAAGAGAAAACATGGATCTTGAGAATAATAAAATTGCTCCTACCTTCCATGAGTAAGATGGAGAAGTCCTTTAAGACTGTGACAGTACTCGCCAACACCAGGACAGAAAACACAAATGTGCAAATTGAATCGGCCATTTTATAGTCTGGCTGGAAAATAAAGGGGCTTTGGTTAACTGAATGTGTGTCTCCTTTGAAGAAAGTCTGATGAATAAAATCTGTAAACCTCCCTGTTTCCTTCCCTCTCTATCACTCTTTCACCCCTACTTCACATCCATCTGGACACCTGATATCCAACTCAGAGGCAATTTTCTGAAGACTCAATCTTTCTTCTAAGCCAGGCGTGGGGAACCTTTTTTTTTTCTGCCAATGACTGTTTGGATATTTATAACATCATTGGAGGGCCATACAAAATTATCAACTTAAAAATTAGCCTGCTATATTTGGTCAAACATTTAATTAGCTCACCCCTAATGCCTTGATAGGGCTGAACCAAATGATTTGGGATCTTATATAGCCCTCAAGCCAGATGTTCCCCACCCCTGTTTTAAGCTTTAAACCACCAGTGACAGAAGAAGAGAGACTACAGGGCATGCTCTCCCATCATTTAAGAAGTGAAGGGAGAGATATTCTTGAATATTTTCTCAAGAGGCCTGATTTGACTTCTCAGAAACGGAACAGAAGTACAGAGTTTGCGATGAGCTGACTTTTCAGCCTTAATTATGATGAGAAGAAGGCCTGTCATCTGCTGAGAGGTTGCATATGCCCAAGGTACAGCTGGAGCTTGGTCTTGGCGGACTGGGGTTAGTGTGGTTTATTTTCCCCTTCAAAGTATGACACATGTTCGAGACAGGCATCTTTGATCCAATCCTAAGAGTACAAGCTGAGGCCTCATTCTTGCCTCTCTGGCCACTGAAACCCTTAGCCTCAGGGTGAAACACCTGCGACTTTGCCTCTGATGCAGTTTTGGGCCTCAGAGAAGTCTGCCTCGTTATCTCTAAGAAACCTAACCTTTATAAGCATATTGTCAAACTCGACTAACCCATACAATTTTTTAACTATTTTTCCTTAAACTTAAAGCTTGCAGAGAGCATTTGCTCAACTGAATTCAGGTATGTTTTTGTAATTTGTATTTACGTGTTTTCACTTTTAGTAAAATTAATGTAGAGTCCCTACTAACTGGGCGGTCATGGTAGAACCAAGGTAAATGCTTGTCTCCATAACCTCCTGCCTCCACTCTCACACCCCTGTTGGTTCTCAGTACTACCAAATGCAGAGCTGCGATACATATTTTCTTAGGGCCAGAGGCCCACCCAGAGCCATTCCCACTTTCCAGGAACACGCTGACCTTTTGGAGCGAAGTTACCTCTTCCCCATTGTGGGTGATATTGTGGGACATTCAGGTGTTCTACCCTCCCCTGGCCAAGCAGCAGGTACAAGACCCACACTAGACTCCTTTCCCAGAAATATGAATCTTTAGCGTAATGATAAGAAATTGAAAAAAAATGAGTTGAGTCATATTCATTTCAGTTTGCTGTCTGGGACAGAAGTTGGATAGTTTCTGAAATCTATATAACAAAAGTGACCCTTATTTGTATCTTGATTTTTCTCTGGAGTACATCCAATAAATTTCAGCCAATAATATATATAAATAATATATGTATATTATATATATAATTATGTATATATAATTATATGTAACTTTATTTTTTTACATATATTTTATTTGTTTGTTTGTTTTTGCTTAAGTGAGCTAGAGATTTTTTCTGTTGCTTACAACCCAAGATCTCTAAGATATTTATGGTTCCATTGTAGTGCATATTGACCCAATGACAAAAGGAACTACTTTCTTAAAAGACTGGATGCCCTGCGATTAAAGACAGAGCTCTTAAGAATTTGGAAAATCCAAGTTTTTCAGGCTTTAAATGTTTGTTTCTTTGTTTAAAATTTGCACAGTTGTGTGTTTAGGAAAAAAATAGTCTTTCCACCCTCCTTTCAGTTAATTTTGGAGGACCCATTTTTATACTCCTTGGTATATAAAATCGCTATGACAGTGAGTTAAAACAAACATACACACCTTGAAGTAGATGATAAGTGCGCTGGTTAACACGCTGATGCTCTGAAACAGGTCCCCAAGGGCATGCACAAAAGCAGCTCTGACACTGGCATTAGCTTGCACTTCCTTGTGACTGTGGCCAGGAGGCCTCTGGTGCAAAATCACACTTAGTCTGCATAAGAGAACAGTGTTCTCAGCACACAGGACATTAACCCTTAAACACCTATCCGGCACAACGGAAGAGTTAACAGCAGCATATATTATCCAAATTGACAGGTGATTAAAATATTCAGGTTTTAAGATAAACTTGCTTGGACTAATTTTGAACACAAGTGGATCATAGCGTTTTCAACTTTTCACAAAAGGGCAGACAAGAAAGATTCGCCTCAGTTTTCATTTCCACCTGCCTAATGCCCTCCTTTCACATTAAAACTGGAAAGCATCACTACTTCAATGAAAGCCAAATATTTTACAATGAGGGGGGGAAGTATCATTTATTGAGGGTCTACTTACTGTCAGGTCCTGAGCTAGGCTTAAGGCTGAACTTTGATAGGAGCTCAATTAAATATCCTAGTTTCAAATGCAAAAAGCAACAGAAAGGAATGAAACAAAATAAGTAGTGAGTTTCATTATGGCTGGATTCTTTTATCTTTTCCTTTACTTAATTTTGTTCATTTACATAAGAATTTGAAATGTGAATAACTGTAATGGCCAATGATGAGCACACTGTGCATATGTATATGTAGCTATTTATCCAGATGAGCACTCTGTGCATATGTATATGTAGCTATTTATTTATTTATATGTGCTCATCATGTTGTCATTCATTCTTTCACTCACTCATTTTATTAAAAAAAGAAGAAAAAGAAAAACGTACTTAGGGACCCATGTGTACTAGGCACTGTTAAATGTTTAGGGGCATAAGAGTAAGTGAAAGCAGACATGGTCCCTCCCCATTGTGGCTTCAAGCATGAAGGAGATGTAGAGAATTTAAAAAGACACGCACACATACATGGAAAGTTCTAATTATTATAAGCCTACTAATAACCAGTGCTACAGATAGTCAAACAGGGAGTCTGGTTTAGTTAGCAAGACAAAGCAATTGAGTTGGACGTGAAAGGTTAGAATGAGGCTAGGAGGGGAGGGAATGTTCAGGCAGGGAAAATTTTGCATGCAATGGCCTTAAGGCTCTGTCAATACTTTTCATCCTGGAATCCCTTTACAACCTGTATTGTAACTTTCTGTCCTGATTTTGAGTCCCTAAGGAATACATTTATTCACAAATTGTGGTTGTCTATTCAGACCACACAGCCTCTACCTGTACTTGGAACCTGTAATCCCAGTTCTTGGAGGAAACATTATAGTCACTCAGTAGCCTTGTCCGTTAATAACTAACTACCTGTTTGCACAGGGAAGTCAAAGCTTTTTAATTCCCTTGTCTTTCTGAGCACCTTAAAATTAAGGTCAAAGTTCAACAGCATTTGCAGTAAAAAGAAGATGTGGATGGTATCTGTTTAAAAGTCAAACTTAATCACAGAGGGTCCAGATTTATGTGGTAGTTAGCTTGGGGCACCCTTCATCTTTGTGTAATATTGATACAATTATGTGCCATATGATTTGGGAAATTATTAATATTTTTGTTCTTCCTGCTGCCTTGTAGACATGTTGTTCTCCTAGGCAAAGATGATGTTATTGATCCCCGGTCAGCAGGACACATGTTCTGGCTTGTCTCCTAGTGGTGACAGATTGGGATTGATCTCCCAATGCCAATGTGAAACACATTTTCAATATAACTAGGCGGAAATAGGGATCTAGTCAGTTACAGCAGATGAAATATCACTCTTCTAATTGTTTAGCTCAGAGACTTTTGCAATGGTTTGCAAACTATGAGGTGAGGAACAAAGGTAGGCACAAGGTAAGGGTACTAGAGGGACCGGAGGAGCTTTCTCTAAGTGTGCATGCTCAGCTTTTCCTCTCATTCCAGAGATCCACTGTGCCCTCTCTTTAAAAACACTATTTAAGATGCCATTCTCCTATCACTGTCTTCTTCATTCTCATGTGTAATCCTATTGCAGTGTATCACGTGGCATTGCAAGATAGACAAGCAGATGATGCCTAGATAGTGTATGAGTTTCATATTGCTGCTGTAACAAGTTACCACAAGCCTTTCTAGCTTAGGACAACACACATTTATTATCTTATCCAACCTTTGGAGATCAGAAATCTAAAATGAGTGTGCAGGACAGCATTCCTTCCAAGGTTTTAGGGGAGAACACACTTTCTTACCTTTTCCAGCCCCTAGATGTCAGTTACATTCCTTCATCTTCAAAGCCAGCAATGCAGCATCTCATCTCCTCTCTGGCCTGATGCGTCCCTTCTATAAGGACCTTTGTGGTGATATTGGGCCTATCTAGATAATTCAGGATATTCTCCCCATCTTTAATTTAATTACATTTAAAAAATTTTTTTTGTCATGTAAGATAACATATTTAGAAGTCCTAAGCCTTAGAGTGTGGAAATTTTTGAGGGGCCATTGTTCTTTCTACCACAGATGATACAGATAGATGGACAGACAGACATACAGATGGTTTTAAATAGATACAAATAGATAGTTTTAAATAGGGCTGTCCAGAATTATTTTGGCAAATGAGAAGGAGCAAATCAACCAAAAGGATCAAAGTCCTGGCCTTAAAACTCCATTATCATAGCAATCAAGTAGTTCATTTGGGGAAGAGCAGACAAATAAGGCAGTGATAAAATGTCCAGTAGGACATGATCACACGTCCCATAAGAGTAATTTAAGGCTACTTGGTTAAGGCAATGAACCAACATTGAGTTTAGCTAACATAGCTTAAAGTAGAATTTTTATATAGTCAAAATATTACAAATATATGGTAGAGTGCTTATGAGAGAAATAAATTCTGCTGTTAGTTCTATTAAAATATATGAAACTCATGACCATGAAATGGATGTTGCAAGAGAGAATTAAAAAGTAGAAAGGGGACTAAAGTAAATAAACTTTAAGATCCCTTCCAATCCAGCTGTGTGGGAAGCCATAATATGTCTCTGTAATAAAAACTGAGTAGAAGTAAGTCACGTCTCATGGGGAACCATCAATATGCAAGAGAGAGCAGAACTGCTAGGACCCCATTCTGAGTTTGGTGGGTCTGATTCAGGTCCTGGCTCTCCACCTTCTCACTGGCAATTCCTTTAACCTTGCAGAGCTTCAGTTTTCCAATCTGGAAAGTAGGAATGTTGTGAACACTGGGCTTGATAATGTAGATCAAAAGATCAAATCACAGTCCCTGACACATAAAAAACATTCAAAATGGTAGCTATTAGGAGCCAATATTAAAATACTAAAATGAGCACAACCAACCTACTTTCAGTCATAGAACCATTTGAGCACTCTGTCAGATCTCTGCCATCCTCACAAATGGAGGAATTAAACACAAGCAACAAGAACAAACACGCATCTGTATCCAGACAGGGTTAAAGGTAAGCTTCCTGGGCAGTGTGAGGGGTGACTTACACAATGTTGGCTGCCACAGCACAGCCCGAGACGATGATCATCACAGTGGCCTGGATCTGGTAATCGGGGTACAGCAAGCGCTCACAGGCCAGGTACACCAGCACACCAGTCACTGCCCAGACACATAGCATGGACAGCAGGGCCCCGAGGATCTCTAAGAATGCAAGCACACAAAGCATTCATGAATCACCTTAAATCCCCAGGAGTCATGAGACATTAATGTTCCTTCCCCCTCACAAAAGAAGCTTTACATTAGTTTACTCTAACTCACAAAGCAAAACTGTGGAAGGATTTTAGCACTAAGACAAGCTACTTTCGCGTTGCATTTATAAAACACAAGCATCTGACTTCCTTTGCTCCATGTTACTCGGTAATTTGCAACAAATTTTAAAAGCGTATTATTTGTTGCCCTCGCTTGCTGTTTTCCTTGGGGATTTTAATTTAAGCAGGTGCTAAAATGATTGAAACTTATTAGGGGATGAAATAATGAGACACATAGAGTAAAAGGTATTTAGAAACTCTTAATTTTGCCATGAAGCACTGACAGCGTGCCAGTACCAGTAGCTTCTGTGGATTAAAACAGTAAAAAGGGAAGGCTTGAAAGGGCACTTGAAAAATGAGTTTCATTTGCCAGCCCAGCATCCCATAAACACAGAGGTGAGCTCAGAGGTATATCGACCCTCTAGATGCATTTTAAGAGCAACAGTAAGGAAAAGAAACATAGGATGTGGCATTTGCATTAACATTTCAAGATAAGATAGTGTTCAATGTGCCCACTGAGTCAAGTATATTTGCTCACTTAGGAGTTCCTTAATGCCTCACCCTGATCTGCAACTCAACTTTGAAGGTGGATTTAGGTTCTGGGAACATTCTGTGAGTCAGTGGTCAGGCACATTCATAATTTTTACCTCCTCCTTTAAACAGGCCCCTGTAGCATGTTGTTTCTCTTTGTGGGAGGAACGTTTCCCAGACTTTAGTCACTTATATACAATCATCACAACTTTTGCCATATCCACCTGCCACCTGTCCCATTAGACATTTAATATTCTCTTTAAATAAATTCACTTTTTGTACTTAGCTTCTTCCTAAACAAAGGCATTCATGAAATGACAGGCTTGATGTTCTAGTTGATGTCCACCTCTCTGTCTGTAGTGGTACTGCCTAGTACGTTAGCCATCCATCACCTGTGTCTGTTTACAGTGAAAATAAGTAAAATTAAAAACCCAGTCCATCAGTAGCACTGGCCATGTATTAGAGTGTTCTGTGGCCACGTATACTCTATTCCAGAACGTCTCCCTGGGAGCAGAGTTAAATTGGGCAGCACTGGTCCTCTGGTGTGTCAATGCTCATGAACATCCATGGCCAGGATGAGAAAGTCCAAGCAGAATTTGAAATTCCGAGTCCCTCTTATGTTTACAAATCATCCCATGTTTACAAAACAACTCTGGCCAATGGTATCCAAAAGAGTAAAGTGTGGCGGGCACATGATGCATTACACAGATCTTGTTACATAGAGACCCACACCTGAAACCTGTATGTCCATGTGGACCAATCAATTTAATAAATAAATATATTTTTTTTAAAAGGGTAAAGTACAGGTACAAATTTATACAGACAGATGGCTGGTGCTCAGCCAAAAGTATAAGCATAGCTCTATTGGGGGACTGGGAAAGCAGCTTCAGGTCACACTCTTTTTATCATGGTTTATTGCCTTATCTCCCTCTCTCGCTGGGTTGTTAAAGGAAGGCAATTCAAACCACCCCCTGGCGGCCTGATCGCAATGGCTCAGGGGTTGAGTATTGACCTATGAACCAGGAGTCATGGGTTTGATTCCCAGTAGGAGCACATGCTCGGGTTGCAGGCTCAGTCCTTACTAGGGGATGTATAGGAGCCAAGCAATCAACGATTCTCTCTCATCAATGATGTTTCTCTCTCTCTTCCTCTCTGAAATAAATTTAAAGAAATAGGTTTTATAAAAGTATCTTTTAAAAACAAACAAAAAAAAATACATCCTGATCGTAAATTGTTTGGTATGAACAATTTACCATCAGGATCCCTTTCGCTCTTAGCTTGTAAACCTACAGCCCACAGTTGCCAGCTGTGGCCTGTGCCTGGCGGCACCTTTCAGCAAATCCTGCCCACGTCAGCATGTTGGCCACCCCTGCCCTGCCTTGCCCTGCCCTAGGTTCTCCTTCACCTTCTATCCCTGACTCCCCCGTGAGAAGTTCTTCCATCTCTGCAACGTTTTTTGTGCTGTTTGTGCCTTATCTTGCAAAATGCTAGGAGCTTCCCAGATACAGAGTAACTTCATGAATGCTATTATGGCTTCGCCCTACACTGAGACCCTGGGGCCGGGATGGTTGCATGTGTCCCCATTGTCCCATCGGACCAGAGGTAGGCGATTAATCTGGTCTTTAGCTGAATTAGCATAGAGAACACAGGTTCCCACCCCATGTCTAATTCACCCCTCACACCAGAGATGTACCTCAGGAGTTTTCCAGCAAGGCTTTGCTTTGTCCCTTTTGGTTCTACCCTGGGTTTGACTCTGAGGCACACCACCACCACCACGAGCTCTCCGTCAGTGAACTGTACCTGCTCGGTGCCATCCGAAGGTCAGCCGCTTGGAGGGAGGCTTGGAGGACAGCCACAGGGAGAAGAGGCTGAGCAGGAAACTAGTCAGGTCAATCAAGAGGTGGGCAGCATCTGTGACGACAGCAAGACTCCCAGCAATGTGGCCACCTGGGGGTGCACAGTGTTACACGGGGTGAGGATATGATGCCCCACAGAAGGGTTCCCAACCCACCAACGGTCCCCAACTCTTAATGGGAAGTCAGCCTGGAAGGGGGGGTTGGGGTCCCTTGTGTGGGGCACAACTGGATTCGTATGTACTAACCTGAGTTGGTGAAATGTCACAGACCCACAGAGCTTTAGAAGACACATCAACATTGATCCAATTGGCCACCTCTTCTTCCCAATTTGACAGGTAAAGAAACAGAGACCCAGAGAGTGGGTAGGATTTGAACATGTAGAAATGATGTCAAGAGCAAGGCCATTCCTAAGGGGTAAAGGTACAGAGACTAGAGAGTGTGGGCATTCTCAGGGATCATCCCGGTTAGACCTGGACATGAGGATTCAGACAGGGCAATGCAAAACAATGAGGCTGCCGAGGGAAAGCCAGATTCACAGGGCCTCACCCTCCAACAGGGGACCTGGACTTCCGTCTGCAAACCAGATGATACAATGCCCCCCGGATGGGTTTTTATTTATATCCTTGCCTTGTGATTTTACCATAGTCTTTACTGCTTCTGTCTTCTCTACTAACTGGCATTATCCACCTGAGTTCGAGACCCCTGTGAGGAATAGGGGGGACAGGAAGGCGAAAGGACAGGCACCTTCTAAAGGGACTACTGACTGTAACCGTCCAGGGAATCATAGGAAAAGAAACCACGTTTCAGAGGCCCGCCTGGCTGTTCTCTCTGTTCCCTACGCTCCCTCTGCTTCCCTCTAGATCTCTTTTAAGCAGAGATCCTCCAGCCTCCAAAGTGGAAGCCACAGGAAAGCCTTGTCTCTTTCTTCCCGAGCAGAGCTTGTTGTTTGAGAGCAATAGCCTTTATTACTTTCCACCGTGTCTGCCCAGCAAAGAGCTTTTGCTGACGGAGAGTCCTCCCGGAGGCTGTTTATTGCCTCCTGCACTAAAAAGCGACGGCGGCTGTCAGTCATCAGCCCTCGGTCATCAGACTCACCTTGTCGGCTAATGATTTTCCAAAATTACATATATGGCTCATAATTGCAATCATCCCCCACAGACCGCTGGCTCTCGCTGCAGTTAATAACGGGTTTGTCAAAGTTTAATGGTCTGAGGGAAAGGAGTCTTCAAGCTTGTTACTGAGCTGTCAGTGCAAAAATCACAATGATTCATTAGCCAAAAAGTAACATTTTGCTAACAAATCAGCTGTCCTTCCAATTACCCTGAAATGTTGCTCTATCTGCCAAACTGGGGCCTGATAATGAAGCTGTGCTGCCAATGCATTAGTTCCTGCCCGGGAAACGACTGCAGGCAGATAAGCAGCACGCCACCATCTCAGCAATGAGTGATGACGGTGATTCCATGTGCTGAGCTAAAATCATAGCCCAAGTCAAGGAAATGAGGTCTTACAGGGTTTCTTCAAGAGGCTCCGCTGAGTCAGGAGGCAACTGAGAAAGAAAAATGGCCTGGCTTTCGAAGACGCATGTTAATAGGGGGGTTCTGGAAACCAAGATCCATTCTGCGACCATCAGAACTACTTTTAAGAACCATCCACAAAATTGTGAGCAATCATGATGAGCGGCTGTGGAGCAAATTGTTCACAAGAGGTAGTTTGCAACTGAACTTGCATTTGCTTCTGAATGCATGGGGTGTGACTGACAGTTAATTCAGTGGTCCCATCGGTATTTGTTGAGCCCTCACTGTGCTCGGTGCGGGAAGAGGATACACACAGATAAAAGTTTTAAAATCCCAGTCTCTCCCAACAACCTACACGGCTCAGTGGTGGTTGAGCGTCAACCTATGAACCAGAGGACACAACTGGATTCCTGGTCAGGACACATGCCCATGTTGTGGGATCAATCCCCAGTGAGGATGTGCAGGAGGCAGCCAGTCAACGACTCTGTCTCTCTCTCTCTCTCTCTCTCTCTCTCTCTCTCTCTCTCTCTCTTCCTCCCTCCCTCCTTTCTCTCTTCCTCCCTCCCTTTCTGAAACCATTAAAAAAAAAAAAAAAGAAAGAAATAGAAAAAACAAACAAAAATATTGCAAGACCTCTTTTCAGTAATCTTACATTACTAACACTCATTGTGCTGAAGATATGCATGACAACTAGACTAGAAGACTAAAAAGCCACTCCCACTGGGAGTTTTGGGGAACTTTTCACAGGAGAGAGGGGAAGAATTAGCTAGAAGAGGAGGGTTTCTCAGGGAGAGGCAATAGCAGGAATGAGAACAGAGAGAAGTGGAAGAGCATGGAACCTTCCTGGGAAAGAAGGAGATGTGCATTGTTGCAGGAATAATGGGGAATCAGATGGCAGACCCACCAGCTCTCTCAGTCTCTCCAGGCAAGGCTGGTATTGACTACTGCGGGACCACAGCAATAATCAGGTGCTGCCCCTCCATCCAAAAGGCCCTCTCATCTCCCTCTTAGCCACCTCTCAATGTCTACCCCTCCCTCAAGGATTTGCTCAAATCCCATATCCTGCAGGAGTGATCTGAGAATAATAATTGCTTTCTCTGACGTGGTCAAAATGGCTTTAGGGAGAAAGTGAGCTGTAGGGTGGGCTCTTGAATCATGGCCAGTGTTTTGATGAGTGTGGGGGATGAAGGAAAGTGTTTTTTCATTCAAATGAGAAGGCATACGCCAAAGCTACAGAGATATTGTGGTAGAATGATTATTCTTGTATTCAGTGAATAAATGGCTGAAACAGAAAGCCATGAAGGGAAGTAGTAAAGGAAAGAGACTGATAGTCTGTTTGGCAGCCAGATGGTGGAATGACTTGAAAGCCAAAGTAAAAGTTTTTCATTTTGTCCAGAATGCCAGAACTCCTCAATATATTGTTCTCTCTCACTTGGGGCTTAGCAACAGAGGGAGCCCCTATTGTTGCCATAGGTATTCTTGCAAGTTTACCTCGGTGCCCAGTAAAAGTTCCTACATCTGCCATGATGGGGAAAGGTTGTGAAGGGCTGAACTAGGCAACGGGGAGCCAGGGAAGAATTTTGAAGACAGAATCAACATGATGAGAGCAATGTTTTAGGGAAATCTGCTCAAAATAAATACAGCTCAAATTCCAAATGTCCCTCAGTATCCACTTAATTTCATTACTGACATCACTTCCCTCTGACTCTGAAAGTCACTTTAGAACTCATAGACCAGTTATCCAGGAATGAGACTATAGTGTCCCAATTTCCCTCTAAAAATGCAAGTCATCTTTCTTAAAAGCATAGTGATAGATTATACGAATGGGTATAAGGAGAAAAGTGAGTTTGTTTTTTTTAATGAAATAATCGTCCATTCTCAGATGGTTATTAATTTATTTCTCTATTACCCAAAATTAATAACCATCTGAAAATGGATGATTATTCCATTAGCATCTGCTAAGCTATTTTTCCCACTCTAATGGCTGGCAATCAGAATTAATTGTTTTCTTCAAGCTATGCAGTCTTATGGCCTATGTATTCAGACTTTTATTGCTTTTCAAAACTGGAAAAGAACTTAGACTTATCCAGTCCAAGACAAATCCAGGGTTTTTAATAACCTTCTTCCAGTTGGTTTACAAAAATAATTGATAGCACACAGTTTCTAAAGCCAGGGTATGTCTTTTGAAGGAACTGACTTAATAGCTTGTGGAGTAGCAAATAATTTACTTGTAACAGTTCCAACCTGGAAAACGCCCTGCGGACACCCACCGACATTTGCCAAAGGAATATTCTTTTTCATTATTGAAATTCATAAAGTTTTGGACAATATTGCATTGTTCTTGAAAGAGACTGACAAAATGGAAAATCTGAAAAACAGAACCCATTGGAAATGCGATTTGAAAAGGTGATGTCTGGAAATTCACATCCTTCCCATAAAGTCCTGGCACCACCCCATGGCAAACGCAGCTCAGGAAGATATAGAGACTGGCTTGTTTCCTCCACTACTTTCTGCCTCTGCTTTTTCGCAGATCCCGTGTGGATGCTGAGACTCAATGGCATCTTCTCCCCAGCTGATGTCTAATCAGTAGTCTGAAGCAAGATGGACTTTCATTCACAAAACTCACTTTTCTCCTTATACCCCTTCTTAAAATCACAATTAGGTTTTGGAGAAACCCAAACAAAATGATTCTCGTGCTTAATTAAAATAATAAACTAAAATAAATTATGTTTATCTTTTTTTCTGTTAAACAAGGATTAATAAGGGAAGAATAAGAGAGCATGTAACATACAAATTTGCATCAATTAAATGTGTTACTACTGACAAGAACCAGCAACAGGAATCATGAAATACCTTAGAACCAAACCCTATTGTTTATAAAAATTTGATAAATGATATAAGAAGCATCAAAAATCAATGGAGAAAATAGTTGTTTCATAAATGATACTGGAAACATTGTTAGCTGTTTAGAAAAAAAAGATTTTTTTTTCAATTCTTAGAATATATCTACTTTCACATTGATTGAAAACTGAACAACAAAAGGGTATTTATCTTCTCAGTCCCTGGGAAGGCCTACTAGAGACTAAATTGGTTAAAGAGTAGTTTAAAAATAAAATGTTCGACACAATTATCTATATAAAATTTTAAACTTCTCTATGTCAAACCAAAAATTAAAAAGCGAACAAAAAGCAGAAAAAATACTAACAAACATAACCAAAGTTTAATATCCTAATATATAAAGAGCTCCCAGAGATCAATATAGCTAATTATAAGTTATCTAAAAAGTAGACATTAAGAAGCCACCAGGAATGCATTTCAGGGAAATACAGATCATTAATAAGCATGCAAAAAAATATCCTAGCATTAATGGGTGTTAAAATAAAGCATATTCATTTATATATTAACAAAGATTTCTAAAAGATTAAAATAAGTTCTGGTAAAGATTGGAGAGAAATCATTTTCATGCAGACCTGGCAGACATAGGAATTGTTTTAAGCTTTCTGGATAGCAGTTTGGCAACATGTATCAAGAAGTAATAAAAATATTCATGTCCTTCAACCAACTATTTCTATTTTTAGGTCTCCTTTAAAGGGATTAACCAGAAAGGCAGGCAGAGTTTTATTTAAGATTTTTTATTGCAGCATTGTCCATAAACAGAGGGGAAAAAATCCCTAAATTTCTAACAATAGAGAGATGGTTCTTTAAATCACAATGGAGTGTACATTGTTCAAGCGTGAAAGTATTTTAAGAGCATTTGATGGCATGGTCAGAAGCATTTAGTGTGCTCTCGGCTGTGCTGAAAAACTGAGCTATGAATAGAAAATATATTGTATGGAAATACTTCATAATTTTATTGGCAGTTACCACTCTACTGTGGGATAGTGATGAATGTTGTTACGTTTCCTTCTATTTTCCAACGTATCTACAATGAGCACATTGTTACTTCATACTTATAGAAAAGGTTAACTCTCACTTTAAAAGAAGAACCGAGGTCACCCTCCTGTACTTATGTAGGATTTTGTTTGCTTGTTTAATCAGAGGAGCTTCATTGAGAAATACTCACCCACAATCTCTGCAATCATGAAGACAAAGCATATTCCCGAAGCAGCCCAGAGTTTCCACTTGGCATAGACTTGCTCGTTTGCCCTGTTCTCTGTGGCCTTGGCATTACCATGACAGTGATAGATGGCTCCGGACCCCAGCTCCTCTGGCCTCTCTCCAGAACAGTGATCTTTATTCACAGCTTTCTGCTGGCGATCCACACTACGCATGAGTTTGACAGAAGCAAGAAATGAACATGGCTGCAAACCACTGACAGCCTTACCCATTCTCTGAACCACTGTGAGGACATTTGCTACCTGTCTAGAAAGTTGTAATGCACAGCTCCTTCTACAAGAAATATCAAGTGTAAGGAACAAGCAACTACTTGAAGTCTCAACTACTAAACGTTTTGCTCTTATTCAGCCATACTCTTCTTCAGTCTCTACTACCAGTGATTAAGAGATATTAAAGGAACAGGAGATAGGAAGCAGATACATTTCCTTCCCAATAACTTCATTTGGAAAAGATACTGGATACTGTCCCACAAATCAAAAAAGGAGTAGGAACGTTGTTAGATATGTGTCTGTGAGCCAACTGATGATTCAGATTCCCACTATTGCATGCCGTCACTGTCACCTTCTTCTCCACAACAACATTGTTAATAGCATTTGGACTTAGCAGTTTTTCCTGCTAAGTCCATATGGTCCCTCAGAAACCGTCTTAACACAGCATTGCTCACAATCTCTACCAATCCATGGAAGTTGAGACTTACTTATACTTCGTATAGTACATATCAGGTCTGCTAGCTCTGCTCACACAGAAATCATTATTTAGAGCCTTTTATTATAGATTTATAGAAGTTCACAGATGCAAAGATTATAGATAACATTTAGTCCAACTCTATAGTTTCTTAGCTGAAATAATTAAGGTTCAGAGGGGTTAAGTAATTGCCTGAGGAGAACTAGCCAGGAAATTGCAGAGCTGGGATTCAAGACTTCCTATTTTTTCCAGGTCATCCCACTCTGCTTCCCTATCTGAACTTCAGTAAATTCAAAACCAATCTTTACTGATGCAAATGTTGATGTTCACAGATCTTGAATTAATCAGATTTAATTTTTAAATAAACTTATTAGAAGCATTAATAAGATTATTAGAATTAAGATTATTTGTATTCATGACTTTGAAAGGTATAAAAACAGAAATAAATTAGCCTCCAGTTGAAGAGCTATTTCATTTGTCTTATCGCCAGCTGGAATTAAAGATCTGCAGTTTTCCGCTTACAGGTAGATGATGATTTTGATTCTGACTCTAATTATCATTATACTTATTTTTTTCTGAATAAAAGAATGTATTTTTAATAAAAAATTGGTAATTACAGAAAAGCACAAACAGAGGAAAATCACTGTTAACCTTACGCAAGAGACCATCACTATGGACATGTTGTTTAGTTTTGTAATATACAAATACACTTTTTGTACATAATTAGAAACCATATTAATTAGGATGTTTTTTATTGCAAGTACAGAAAACAAAGCTCATGCTAGGTTAACCAATAAGTGGAGATCATTGGTTGTGAAACTGAAAACGTCTGGAGGTAGTGGGCTTCAGACTGGTTTATCAGGGCTCTGGATCCATTGCTTTAGTTCTAACTGTGCTTCGGGCGGTTTTCCTCATGCTAGTGGGATGGTTGCCCTAGGCAGTCAGGGCCACACACTTGCTGTTTCTTATGCGAGGAATGAAAGTGTTCTCATTTCCAACTGCTAGACAAGAGTTCTAAGTTGCATGCTGAGTTGACCAGATAAAAACCAATCCCTAGACCCAAAGGAATATGGATGGGCTGATTGGCTCAGACCTTGTTCCAATCAGAATATTGGCTAAACCCAGTCATGCTGTCTCCTGGAGCTGAGAATGAGGTAAATACTACCTAAATCAAATGGTTGCAACTTAGTGATGGGCCAGAATGGATTGTGGATGACATGACTGTGTCACCAGAGGATCCTCCCAAAGATACAGCTTTGGGACCTGAATCTTAGCTGTATTTATTGTTAACGTTGCCTCAATTTATTAAATATTCTGCATCATTACTTTAACCTGTAGAAATTGTTAATTTAATATAGCTATGTCACAACATAATTAACTGAATTCCTATTATTTAACAATTCATTTTTTCCAATTATTTGCTCAGATAAACAGCACTGTGATTCATATTGTTATAGTTAATCCTTGCTCAATATATTATTATCTGCTTAAAGTGTAATCCTAGAAGGGAAATTGCTTAGTCAAAGAGTATCCATAATTTTAAGGACTTGGATGTATATTGCCAAGTTGACTTCGGAAGGTTTGTATCCATGATGTTAACAGCACTCAGGATTTTGAGCAGTTCTGCAAACACATCATATTGCAGTAGGAACCACTTGGCAAAAGGCACATAAAGTATTTATATTTATACATCGTTGCCTTTGTAATGTGATATATGCCCCGATAACACACATATACTGTAATAGTGTGGGTCCCCAATGGTCATCAACTCAAAGGACCCTGAGAAGGCAACATGAGCAAAACAGGGCCACCAATTGTTCTAGCACTGTTTATATGAGCACTGGTTTATTTTATATCTTCCATGAATCTCATGGCCGGAGAAAACCAGGTGGTAAGTGAAAAGGAGAGAGAACTTACCGCTGGGCAGTTTAGAAGCCAGGAATCCACCAGAGCACAGCTTATGGGCAATGCCACAAGGGAAAAATGCAAGAACACTGACCAATTTTGACTTTTAAATACTGCTTTCCTGTAGACCTCAGAGTGACAAATATGGCTATCCTTTGGAGTGAGATTGAAATTGAAGCACGCAGCCAGACATCTCAAAGTGAGTTCATGGGGTCCATTGACATGGGATGCAGTGTTCATGTGTCATGTGTGTGTGTGTGTGTGTGTGTGCATTTTATGGATGCATGAAAATGTCCACAGTCTTCATTGGGCTCCCCAAAGAATCTATGACTCTAAATGTTAAAACCCCAAGTTAAAATGCATTCCCCATCATCTCATTGGAGCAAAGTGGTCTAAGTGTCTACGCACAGTGCAGGCTCTTGCGCAGAGAGTTAATGTGAATCTCAAGAAGAACTTTTTAAAAGAATTTGGTTCTAGAAAGCAAATGCTATGATGTGTCCAAAAATTAATTGGAAATTTGCTGCCACTGAATTAACCATTATGGATTTCCACACATTACAATATAGCTGAGGCTCTGAAGAGCAAGAACAATGCAGAGCAAAGAAATTCACTACAGCGTCAAAGAGAAAAAGAGGAGAGAAACAGGTTCCTGACTGGGAATATGAGGGAACAGGATAATTTCTTCCGGGTCTAATTTTTTTTATTTGAAAAGAAAAGTAAAACAGGTTTGACGGTTTTTATCATCACCATATCTTGCAAGCTGCACCCATGTCTGAGGCAAATGAGATACTATAACCATAAATGGTTGGCTTTCTGTGCCTCACAAAGTGCTAATTGTCTATTTTAGTGAAAGAGATATACTATTATTTCAATCATGTAGAGATGTTCAATTAAAAGTATCCAAAGTGTTAACAATTTGTTGTACAAAATTTCTGCCTGACCTAACATGAGTCTTTATTGTTTATGAACTCAAAAAATCACATCTAATATTACTTTCTAAGAAAAATAATTCTGCCAAATTATTTTTGGCTCAGTGGATAGAGCATCGGCCTGCAGACTGAAAGGTCCCGGGTTCGATTCCGGTCAAGGGCACATACCTTGGTTGTGGGCACATCCCCAGTTGGGGGTGTGCAAGAGGTAGCTGGTTGATGTTTCTCTCTCATCGACGTTTCTAACTCTCTATCCCTCTCAATTCATCTATGTATAAAATCAATAAAATATATTATAAATAAATAAATAAATAAATAATTCTAATAAGGTGAGATAATAGATAGGTTTGGTTCTTTGTCATAGGTTTGCAAAGCAAAGTTATAAAATATCCTGAGAGAGAAAGCTTTTCTTTGCAGCTGCTCAGACAATTGATTCTATCAAACATGATGTTGCTGCTCTTTGGAATATTAATTTTATCCCATGAAACACACAGCACTACATGTATTATTAATGGATAACCATTTCCTTAACTTCTGTTCCTAGCATGAATGTATTTCAGATTTTCATTCTTTCATCTCTACGAATTGAGTTTCTCTTTGCTCCACACTTGGATTGAATTCCCCAAATTCCCCAAATTGTGAAAACACACAAAATTCATTCTTGTAAGTCTCTGTCTTTACCCAGCAATATCCCCGTCTGAACAGCTTTCCTTAATCCTACTTCCTATGTAAAGTTTCTCTAACCTTACTCTACTTCCCTTTATTTTTCAATTCTCAACCTATCACTTCTGAAAAGCTTTCTCTGACTGCCATATTAGACTCCAAGTTGCTAGAGGACAGAGATCTGGGACTAGGAATCTTTTCTTCTCCATTATATATCTAGGTGTGTTCAACCCATAATTTTTTTTTTAAAAAGGAAAACGAATGAATATACTGCACATGGCACTGTGGGGATATTCAAAGGAACTAGAACTATGTAGAACATTAAACTCAGTTCTTTTTATTACAGGTGTGTATATTCATTAATGATATTATATGATTAAGAAAATAGCAAATAATTTTTATGCAAAGAGAAAAGCACTAAGTGTGGATGGAATAAGAGTAGAGGAATGAATTGGTAGAAGATGATGCAAGAGGTGGACAAATAATTTAAGATCAATGTAACTAAAGTTTTGTCACATCATTGAAAAGCCTCCCTCCTTACTAAATATAATGTAATAAAGTATACTACCTATTTTAAAAGTAGAATTAATTGAGGAAAAGAAAGGCAAACACATTAGATTGGATATGTCTATTTCCTGGAAGGAAATCTACAGATGGAAATACATTCACAAAGGGTGTCCTTCGTTCTCTTAGGATACTTAAGACTCAAATCATGGAGAGTATTGCATATTTCAGGATATGAATTATACAAGTCTGCCAACAGTTTATAAAATTTTACAAAATGTCCCAAGTTGCATGGCAAAAGTTCCTAGCTTGAAGCTGTGGGATTTAGGGATGTATTGAGGATTGAAGACAGAAAGCCGTGAAGCAGAAACCGATGGCTGTTACCTGTCTAGTGTGAAGGCATACATCTTGGTGGCTTTGTCATTCACAAGATAAGCTCTTTCCGGAAACTCCATGGTGGTCAGGTGAGAGCTCTTGCTGCGACTGTAGTATTGTTGTAGGTGTTGCTCTGCTGCTGCTGTTTAACTCACTGGCCAGTTTGGGAAGCAAAGCAGCATTACAGGTATTCACACACTTCCCAACAAAAAAAAATAAAAGGGCTTCTGGGACTTAAAAGAACAAGCCTCCTACATCAGTGTTCTTGTAGGTCTGCTTAACTCACAGCCTCCTGGAGTGCATCTGGCCTCATTCTCTCACCCACAGGTTCCCTTCCTAGAGAGACGTGCAGAGAGGATCCCATGAAGTGTGTGTGTGTGTGTGTGTGTGTGTGTGTGTGTGTGTGTGTGTGTGTGTTTGTTTCCCGTGCTATCTGATTCCATTGTGCTTTCTAAGAGGTGGAGGGCTCAGGGCTTCCTTCTAATTGCTGATGTAGAGATTTGGTCTTCAGAGCACACCTGAGTGATCTGCAAACAACTACCCTCTGTACAATAATCTCATTTTTTTTCTTTCCTTAATTTTTTTTGAGGGGGGGAGGGAAGGGGGGAGTCTCTCTCTCTGCCATTTAGTTCTAAGATGACCTCTGAGTTCTAAGCAGCTGTCAGGATTGACTTGCCTTCTCCTAGGACCATTTTGGGACTCCAGTACTGAGCAGAGGACATGGGTCATTAGTCACTGAAGTCTGTGGACTGAACCCGTTCCTGATGCGGCAGCTTTGAAACCCTTTGACAGGCAGGAGGAGGGCAGACTCAGCTTCTAAGTAAACAACAGCCATACAAGAACCAGAATGACCTGTGTTCTCCTCGGCCAGCACCCTCTGCTGAGGATAAAAGTAAATCCTGCCAGCCAAACCAATCCCAACTCTAGGAAAGGAGTTTCCTGAGCTGATCCCAGACACCTTCAACCATAGACTCCTAGGAATGAACATTTGATTTTACTACAAGGAACTTTGCTTTCCAAATAAGAAATTATATAGCCCCAGGGGAATAGCCTGGTGAAATGGCAGGCCTTTGTATGTGGGCCAAAGAGTGTCCGTCCAGAGCCTGTAGGGATGCATGCAGGATGGGCAATGCTGAGTGGGAAATGGGGGCATGAATCAGACCATGGGGTCCTTTCATTCTTCTTCCTCTGTCAACACTCACTTTTAGTGAGAAAACGCAATGTGGTCCAGGGTAGCCCAGTGGCCCAGCATACTGACAGTTTGTCCATCTTGATGAGCACAGACCTCAATGACCTAATACAATAAATATTGTCCCCAGAAGGACAGTGGGACTCAATGGCATTTGCAACAGCCAGTGAGGGGGAGAGTCATCTTTGGCTGAGATGGAGAAGGCAGGCTTCCTATACCACTGTGGTGGAGCTGTGCCACTTCTATGATATTCAAACACTGTATTATTAATTCTATGGGGCCTGGCCGCCCTGGCTAAGTGGTTGAGGGTCAATTTATGAACCAGGAGGTCAAGGTTTGGTTCGATTCCCAGTCAGGACACATGCCAGGGTTGTAAGCTGGATCTCCAGTAGGAGGCATGCAGGAGGTAGCCCATCAAAGATTCTTTCTCATAATTGATCTATCTCTACCTCTCCCTTCTCTCTGAAACCAATAAAAATATATTTTTTAGAAAAATTTATTCTATGGTCTTTTCATAGGACCCATTGCCAAAAAGATAATTAACTTTGCTCTGACACATGGATATGAGAGAAATGGCTCTGAGAGGACATTTTTCCTTACCAGACAAGTTCTGAGTCTTGTGTTTGCAGAATAAAAAAACGAACTAATTCCTTCTCAAGTACTTTGCAAAATAATACTTTATTCTGGAAAGGCAAAAGTAAGAAACCAGAAAAGAATTATGCATCCATTACCACATGTTACAGCGTGAATCATTTGTGAATAGTTTCTAGCACATGTGAGAGAAATGGAATTCAGGTGAATGAATGTCAAAAATGGAGAAACTGCTTAAAATTAGGTTGAAATCCATTAAGGATAAGTGCACAGAAATATTTACATCTGTGTGTGATTCTGCAAGGATGGAGATACATACTATGTTGTTAAAATGAGTTGTTTATTGAGTCAAGGATAGAGGGAGGATCGATGAGAAGGGTCGGGTAAGACTGATAGGGTAAGGTGGAGAGGGGAAAAGGGGGCATGGGGACTCAAGTAAAAAGACAAGAATATAAAATATTGTGTCCCAAAATCTATCATCTCTCCTATTTATGTGTAAGTTGAACTATATACACTGCAATTTTTAGTACCAGTATGACCTACAATAAGCAATTTCATGTCATTGAACTTAAATATATATTTACACATGTCTACACACATATAAATGTATATGTGTACATGTATGATACAGTTAAAAGAAAAAATAAATGTGCATATTTTCAAGTATTGGGAAACTAAGTACTATTTTCAGCAAAGGTTTGTGAATTTCCAAGTGCTTCCCTTGAAGATAACTACTTTATTATAAATCAAAGCTTCCAATGTAAGTAGCATAAAAGTTAGGGAATAAGGGATGATGGCAAATAAACTTTATGGTTAAAAAAATGCAAGTTTTGCTGCAGCAGTAAATTTAAATGTAGATCAGTTTTGATTGAGGATTGCCTGCATGCTACATTATGTAAAATATTCATCTGTTGATCACCTTATCCTCTCACAAGCTCATTTTAACGACACCATTATCCACCTCTCCCCCGTGTATTGTCAGCACAACGTTTATGAAAACTACCCCATCCTTCCTGACTCACCTCTGGCCCACTTTGGCATGCACTGCCAACCAAGAGCTAATGGCCCTAATCAGACTCCACAAGAGTCAACAAAATTTGTATTTGGAAAGCAACACAGATCATAAAAGCACATCCCCTCTCTTGTTCACAGTCAGTTTGGGTTGGCATTGTGCTGCTCATCCCAGTTTCCTAGGCAACCAGCTTCCAACCCATCCTGAATTACAGGTTGTCCTTTCCGCCCACTCTCCATCACAAGCTTGTAGCAACTGAAGGGGCAAAATGCAATTTATAGCCATTCCCTCTGGAAATAAATATTCTGTCAGCCACAAGAACATCGCATCCCTGGCACAGCCCAGAGCTAGTTGTGCTCTCCAGTGCTAGCTACTGTCAGCAACAGTTTCTTAATAGGACTTTAAGAACAGTAACCCCATACAGAAATAAGTTACACGAGTGTCTTAGCTTGTTTGACAGTTCACTTGCAAAAAGGATATGTGTATTTGTACAAAGTCACTGATCATCCCTAGACATTAAAGTACCAAGCTTTTATGATTTGCATTCACAAAACTTAAACTCATATTTCAGAAATAAGAATTATGTGCTTGCATGTAACTCTCCTTTAAGAGGAGACATGAAAATGTGCTTGTTTCTAAATAATGTGGATTTTTCATCCTCTTTGTCTCTTTCTTATTTGTGGGGAGCGGTAGGTAGTACAGTGAGGTGGCTTAATGCCAGCATATGGGCTTTCAAATTAGACTTAGTTTTAGTCTCTGGTTTGACCACTGCCTTACATATGTGACCTTGAACAGGTTACTTGACCTCAGTGGTCTTCAGTTTCTCATCTGTAAAATGGGTGCATTAGTAGAATCCATCTTAGAGAGTTCTTGTCAAAAATGGAGGTGATGCACATAAACGTGCTTAGCAGAGTTAAGTGAGTTACTACAGACTTAGTCCTGTCTAAGTAAAATGGCTTGGCTGTCCCTGAGAAATTGATCCCAGTCTTGGCAGAAGACTAAGAATTATCCAAGGCTAGAAGGATCCAACAAGGAAGTAGAGTTATTGAAGAAGGCCTGGGGATTTTAACCTGCCATCAGCCATATGAAATGGGTAGGTACCTCACTTTGGGATCAACTTTCTAAAATGGTAGATTTGTTTCTGCTTCATCCCATCCACTTAGCAGTAGAGTGCTATTCAACCTGTGTCCGCATTAACTGGCACAACAGGAGAGGAAATGCAAACTCAGTGTAGTTGCCTGCTAAAGATTCTGTATGCATGCACTCCCACACAGACTATAAAGATCCCCTTTCTAAGTTAGGTAGCATTTCCTTATGAAGGTGGTTTTATGGTTATTATTACTGTGTGAGGTTTTTCAAAAGCTCCATTCAGGAGCTTGAAAACAAAGACATTGGAAATTTAATTGGATTGTATTTTAAAGAACACTATGAAAATTTCATTTTAATCTAAAGTCAACATGTATAAAACATAAAGCATTCCCTGATATTTCATACTCTACTTGAAAATGAAATGAAAGTCATCTGAATTTTATTTTCTTTTTGATAAATTGGCACTATATAACTCTTTTTTTGCCACTTTGATTTTTAAAGAGATTAACTGTAGAAATGTTCCAGTGCAAATATAATTTGTATTTGTTGAAAAAAAGAAAGACTTGATAAAATATTGATACTAAAACAATAAAAGAAAGATTTTATTAAGCCTGATAGATGCAAATAAATAATAAGAAAATAAACTCACAGGTTTTTTTGGTTAGGGGAAAATATTAGGGCTGGGTACTTAAAATGTTTATGAAGTATATATTTGATTGATTAGCATCCATGTGCTGAACTTCCTTTGCCAAGAACTCTGCAAACTTGAACTAACTAAACTTTAAATGCACCCTGTGAGCTAGATATGCTTGCCTGTGTCTTGCAAACTCCAAAGCAGTATTCTACTGTGCATGTCCCTGTTTCATTTACATTGCCAAGCTAAAGAGGGTTCCAAGATCCTAAGCCATTATTTTCAGGCATTGGAATAAGAAACAGAAACAAAAACCTACTTTCAAATAGTCCATCACCTTGATCTGCAAAAGCACAGAGCATCACCCAAAACGAAAGCACTGGATTCCCGAATTTAAAAGAGAGAGTCCTTTTGTCGTTATCTGCAATGGCACCATTTAATTTCCATTGGTACAGTTTATTTTCTTTAGTGCACGGCCTTGAGGGGCCCATAATTCCTCTTAGGAGAAGGATTTTTACAGCAAGTCGCTTCTCTGAATCTTGAAGCCTGGATTTGTTTGATTTGAGCC